CCAGCTTCAAAAAGGGAGGACTTGGTCAGTAGCCATAGGTTACAACTACTGTGGCTTTTGTTTTTATGTTGTGCAAAGGCTGTTTTTTGAGATGGAGAGCTGGTAACAAAGGCCCCTATTATATTGTGAAATACCAGTCTCAGGCAGGAATTAAATGAATAACAAAATCACAAGCCCAATTTAAATAGTCAAAACAAAGGGTAAGCAAAACATATAAATGTCATGATCAATCCTCTCATTTCAAGCATATGCTTTGTAGAGCATGATAAATACCATTTTAACTTCTCTCCAAATCCTCTAGCAAACAAACATCCAAGCACAGCGTCATTTCTTCATGTTGATTAGGAAAATCAAAGCAACTGTGCCAGCATGCTGCAAAAAGCAGCTCGAAGCAAGAGATAAACCCAAATGCACAGACACGGATAGCCTCAGCTAACCTCCTGTCCTGCTGTCACCAACATCCACGGTCACTTCCAGCTCTGCGTGAGCCTCAGCACTCACTAACAGACCCTTACTCTCCACCAGGAGGGCTGCTGTAACCACTTACTCAAAATTATTCATTATAATAACAGACAACAACACTATAAGCACGTTTTGTAGGAAGGCAACCTTCCTAAACGTGAAGACTCCAAAGTGAGATTATATCATGTTTGATTATGCACAATTATGTTAATTATACATAAAATACTGCAATCAGCAAAGCCATAGTTGTAGTCTCACTATGAAAATAACCCTCTGTTGCACCCAAGAGTTAGGGTGGAAGGAGAGCATGTCTCCATGTTCCCCCGAGAGGCCCTCTAGGCACTTGGACAGCAGCAAGAATGCTGTCTGCACATGCAGACCAGGACTGATCCCTTGGGAGAGGAAGCAGGGAGCAACAAACCAGAACATTCAAACTGAGCTAACAGAAAGGAGCAGCACCCACAGTACTGGTAAGTGTGTAGAACCCATCTAAGGAGAGCACTGATTTCAAGACAGCGGCAGCTGAGCTCTGAGCACTGGGACATACACAGCTGGAACCAATTTCTGCAAAGAACTCCTAAGAAGAGACACACAGCTAAAATAAACCTCACCATAAAGAGCAAAAGCAAAACAAAAAGCAAGGGATAAATACAGGATATTTATAAATACCAGGCCAATGGAGAAAATGTTTCTGTAGGAGTGTCCAGTTGATCTTTAACATGTAATCACAACTCAGCAGTTAATGCTTCCTTCCATGCTTCATCACGAGGCTCTCCCCTGTAGAGCTCTCAAGTACACACCAGTCACGTATTTGCAGGGAGCACTTAAACAAATCAATTAGTCGTTAGTACCTGGTGTGCATCCAGCCTAATGAAATAGGCTTCTCATCCATTAACATACAGCAGAAACAATCCCTGCAGAGCAAATGATGCAGTATCTTAACAGCGGCGTTAACAACTGAGATCAGAGTTAAAGAGATCTTTTCAGAGCTTTACATAATTTTACATATTAACAGTAACAGCCTGCATTAGCAAGACAAGTTTAGTTAACTCCTGGGTGCTGATGAGCTTAGATTTACTTCATGAAATTAAAGCCTGTTCAAGATTTTAGAAAGTTACTCAAAGACATAACTAGTTAGGAAGTTTACAAGCTTAAGGGACTGAACTAACTGTAAAATCAGTGCAAGATTCTTCTGCATCTCATTGCAATTTCCTATCTAAGTTGACCGGGAACAGCTGTCTGAGCAGCTACAAAAACAAGGGTGGGAGAGGTAGGAAGCTTTTAAGCTATATCCTCCTATATCATGGTACACAGCAAATCCAAAACTAGGTTAAATAAAGCTCTTCAGGAAGCAAGTCCCCTGGTTCAAAATCTAGAGCTGTAAGTAGTGAATGAGTTGGGTGATGCAGCACAGAATAGCAGTCCCAAGTATTTGTTCTGCAGAACAGCACAATGCCAGCAGCTAACTGATGCAAAGTACAAGTATGTTCACCTTCTCAAAAGCTTAGATGCCAGAATTACTGCAAACAAGAAACATCAGCTACTAGAATCCAGATGCTACAGCTTACCTCTCCTGATGGTGGGTGCTTTAACAAACTGGATTAAATTTACTGAGCAGGCTCATTTTCCCAAGCAGCGGTAGGATCAAGATCACACACTTAATACGGTCACCCACTGACCTAGGAAGAAAAGAGCTGATGCCCTCTGCATCCCTGCTTCCACCAGTGCTGATGGATGTGTCTAAATCTGGAGAGGAGGTTAAGTCTAAGCTCACAGAATCACCACGTACAAGACACAAATAACAGCTTTCAGGCTAAGTGATAACACACTGGCACGTTTGAACACGGCCTCTACAATACATTCTAATGGAGGCCATAAAACTAATTGGCCTGTTGCAATTAGATCACGGCTTCGGGGATTTATTCACAGAATAGCTGGGGGTGGAAGGGACTTCTGCAGGTCATCTGGCCCAACGCCCTGCTTGACCAAGGCTGTAAGAGCTGGTTGTAAGGAGCTGGTTGCCCAGGACCACGTCCTGTTTCTAAATACCTCCAAAACGCAGCACTCCACAGCCTCTCCTGGCAACCCATCCCACTGCGTTTTAATCTCACGGATGAGCCATTCTGATGACCCAGAAGCCAGGTACCAAAATCTCTGCAGAACCAATGGCCACAAGGCACTTCCTATGCATCTCCAGAAAAAACATGAAAAGGATCTGGGGGCAAGATAGACCCCAACACCACAGTGCCCCAGGATCTGCCTGAAAGCTCTATTTCACCAGTTAGGCAACACCAACACCAAGAGACATCTGAACAGCTCACGAGCAGCATCTGTGTCTGGCAGCCACAGTACAACTGTGAGGGCAGGAGATGCTGTGCCTGTGTCCTTCCTCTTCTTACAGGAGAGTTTTATTTTTTGTCAGCTCTTGAAATCTAAGAAAGACAAATACTCGAGCATCGGGTACGTTTACTCAGTTTTATTAGACAATTCCAGAAGAAAAGCAGGATATGTTTTAATACTTCATCTCAAGATCCTGGCAAACACAGAAAAGCAAGAATAGTGTTTACAAAAGTTACAAAAACCGCACTGCATAGTGACTTACAGAAAATGTGATTAATTGGCAGGACAGATTTATAAAAATGCAATAACAGCTTTTCAGTTGATTATGAAAATGGTATATCCATGTTACATGCATTCATAAAATCAGCATAGTGTTGAAATTAAGGCACTTTGGATATATGGTATTCCATAAAGGAAACAACTTCAGAGAAACCACAGTAAATCACTACAGAGAGTGACAGCACGCCCAATACTGGCCATCAGAGCACCAGGTTGGTGTGAACGTATGAAGCTCTTGGTAAAAACAAGCAAACAAAACCCCAAGTGCATTGAGGAGGTTTTTTGACCCTCTTAAACGCTGAACTCATTCAAGCAAATTTGCTTCTAAAGAGGTCAAAGAAGAATTTCGTTACTTAAACACCATTAAATATGATTTTAAATGTTAAACAATTTAAAACATCCATGGTGAAAACTGCACGAAGTTCACATTAAGTATTACTGCACACAGCTGCTTCTGAAGTCTTCACTTTCTTCCTTCAGCATCTCCCTGCCACAGCAACAGCCAAAGCAAAACAGTGCAATGGAATGATTTTCCAAGGAGCAACGTCTCTCAACACCACACCAAACTTTCCAGCTCTCCTTTTCACTTTAGATTGTCATTTGTTTACTGCCTGCATCCCAATAGGATCCCAATCCTTTTCTGTCACACGTGTGCTCTTCACTAATAGATGGAGAACAGATTCTACAGTGACTATCATTTATATTAAAGAAAAACTGATGTGAGCTTATTCTCTTTACTCCACCTGCCTCAAAAGCAAAACTTCAGTGGTAACTGGGTACCTTTACAGACTTCCATTGCAGCCTTCAGTACACAAATTCTGAGGAGTGAAAACGTTCAAGAACCTAATGCTGCAAGCACACAGTGCTTCAGCTGGAGTTAAATGGAATGTTCAGCAAAGACTTCAGATATGTGCAGGATCAGGCACTTCAGTTGTATATCACTGGTGTTTTACTTCATCAACTTAACTCAAAAATGTCATAGAAAAGGGGGAAAAAGTGAATTCTTCACCAAAAGAAAAAAAATCAAAGCAGGACCTCTGTAGAAACTATGTTTACTCTAAATAATTCAGCTACCAATTAGAACAACAGAACTTTACAAATCAGCCATATATGCAGATTTCCCTCGAAGTCAGACAACCTGCTCTCACCCAGCATCTTAACAAGCACATTCCTGCTGTGTCTGCAATGAAGCACCAGCATCCAGGAGAAAACCTGTGCTGTAACATTAACTCTTCTTTGGCAGGATTGACACTGCAGACACACCTCAGGATCAGCTGCAACCGTTCAGCATTCCTCAACACTGAAGTGTTCACCTTACACACATCTGAAGTTTAAGTTTAAAATATGTAATTAACAGTTTTCTACCTAATCAAAGACTAGAATTATTTGCCAAGATGGTCTACATTTGAATGATACTGCATTACTTGCACCACAGAATGACTTCTGTACCCTCTTAGCAGGGCCCTGAGCATGGAAAAAAGGCAGAGTATGAGTGCTCACATAGCATTTGTTTATTTCTTAACCTTTGCTCTGCACAGCAACCCATAGGACACCATTACACTGGTAATGAGAGTTTGGACAACAGTGCAAGTGCTCTCATACAACCTAGTGGGCAGAAGGTGTTGTCTCAGCCAGGCTGGGTCACAGCAGTCAGCCACGAACTAACACAGACTATAAAACACGTGTCTGCCCCCTGCTACTCGAAGGGTTCTCCATAATAAAACATATCCTTCACAGGAAATTGGTTTCTTCTCAGAACAGGAATCTCTATGTCAATTTCCCCAGGTAAGAATCAAACTAACACGTCTCCTCCTTTGCCCCTTGCAGATTACTGAAGTGTCCTCTAGAGTTAGGGTTGTGCCACAGTGCATTTGTATAAAATCACGTGCCTCCATAAATCAAAGGCTTCAGCAAGTCAAAACAGTAATAAAGTTAACTTTTACAAATGAGATTATGAGAATGTTTACTAGGATAATGCCAGCATAAAAATATAGTGTTTTAATGTAACAATCTTACAGCCAAGAAGTAGCAGTTTGAATAAGTAAGTTACCAAAGCAATGAGAACAGAGGAGATAAGTCCTGCCCAGCAGAACGCTCACTTCCTTGCAATTCAGGCACTTCACACACAGGAATACAAAGCTGTATTGCGACTGTAAGTGTCCTGAGAGTAGTTCCTTCCTCTGAGAGCCTTCATGAGAGAAGTAATGTCAACTCTGAGCATTAAAGCACAAGACTATTCCCAAAATACATCCACAGTCATTAAGTTGAAGAGTGACAAAACTGGCGTGTCTTAGGGAAAAGAAAGAATGTAGATTCTAAGTGAACACCATCAATTTTTAACCAGGGTTTTCTTTCTTTCATTAGGTGTAAGAGTTGGCATATGCTATGTTTGTTTTTGTTATCAAAGGAAACAATTACAATTACTCATGTGGAAAGCAAGTACCCATTCATCCTTAATCAGAGCAGAAAGACAACCAAGGTAAGCAACAGTAAGCAGGATAATCTTCATATTGATCTACTTTAATTTATGAGTTTTGGAAAAAAAAGTAGACATGCTGATTGATATCTCATGTATCAGCAAGTAGAGCAGAAGTTAATGCACATATATTGAAAAACAAGTAAAAACAGTTTATGTTTTTGCAAACTTCTTTGTGGACAGATTTGCAATGGAGATCCCAACCTGCACTGAATACATTAAGAGGGCTGTCACAAGGATCTTTCCCCTTTGGCTGACACATTGTAAAAAAGCACATTAGGATGTGATAATGCATATGCACACACATCTGCAATAATGAATTCACACAGACACACATACAGCACACATACGGTGACATAGGCTGAAAACATTACCAGCATCAGAGCGAGGTCCTACCACTGCTCCCAGCTAAAGTCATCTCCTCTACCAAACACAAGAAAAAAGCCTAAAATTGTAAGGAAAATGACTGCATTGCCAGCCAGCACCAGACCACAGGCTCCCCATTTGATCTGAAATGCAAGGAAACGAAACAAAGCAGTTCTTAAACATTCATCCAGGCCAGTTATTTATATGCATTAGATAAACTAAATGAAATACTACAGAAAGCAATTAGAAAAAGGACAAACAATAAATACTGCAACTTACAGTACTAATCACTCAATTAGCAACTACTCATATAATGCAAGACTTCAACAGACGGGCTAATAATTCTATATTTTAGAGCAAAATGATTGCCTTGCCATACAGGTCACTACAACGGATCTAAATCACAAAAGCCCACTGAGATTAGTGCTTTATTTTAAATACTGTGTATAAGAATAAAAGATTGTTTTCAAATAAATGCCAGTAATAAGCACAGAACACAGTACCTGGCCTTAAAGGTAAACAGCTTTCTGCAGCTATCTACCTGCACACCTAAGTCTACCCTAAAAAACATTTAAGACACAGCCATGAATTCGAGTTCCCTCTTGTGGTCACTTCTGGTTCTGCCTATTATCAGGTCCACAATAGGCTCGATGTTGGGTTAATTGTGCATCACAAATTAAATTAAAACTAAGCAGATGAAGCTTAAAGCAAAACAGTAAGGCCAAAGGGGGAAAAACAAACTAGAATAACAACTAAAAGAAATAACATCTCGTTGGGAAGTTTGGGAAACAGGACAAAGGAGTTCTTTGCCTTGGAAATGAACGTGACACAAATCTCACCACTGAAGAGCAGTTCAGAAAGCAAAGAGCAAAGAAGCTAGTAGAAATTTCCTCAGATTTGAGGGGACAAAGCATGAGCTTGGGAAATGCTTTGAAAACCAGGAGGACAGTTCTGGAAGTTTGGCCTTTTGCTGTTAACTGATAATACACTCCAGTCACCAAGTTTCCAGCATCCTAAATGGAGAAAGCAGACATTCTAAGATAAAAATAAAGATGGTGCAAGAAGCACTGCACGAGCTGATGACAGAGAAGGGTGTGAGATGGAGGAGGAGAGAACATATCTTGCACTGGACCACAGCAAAACTAGAAGCAAACTTTTTAAGTCACGCAAGTCATTTGTTTAGATCAAAAAGCAGCATAAGCAAGCTTCCAGAATCAGAATCCACGACCATCACAAGGAAAGCAAAGGGAGGATTTACAAACAAAAGCAGCTCACCTGGCTCAGAAAGAAACACCAACACACTTAAAGCCTACACTCAGTAAGTGCCTCCTTGCGAGAACTCACCGCTTCGACCCGCGCCAGGATGATGGGGAAGCCAAAAGCAGAAACAACAATTCCAGTTGTGAAGAAGTACGCCAGCTCCCTGCAGGCACTGCTGGCTGCATCGCTGTCGTCACTTACTCTTCTGGCAATGAAGTGGGGAATGGGGCAGATGAAGTAAAATATTAAGACAAACATAGGCCAGTAAACACTGATGAGGAAAAAAAAAAAAGAAATATATCAGTTTAGATGAATTTCCTCGTTAGGAAAAGTAACGACAGTAGTCCTACTCTGTGGTTTGAGAAGCAGACGAAGTGATTTAAGCCCAAGCTTTCAACAGAAGGGTGCTCCCATGGCCTCACAGAGCAGGGTCTGCTCTCCCCCACAACCAGATTACATATTTCACATTTAGCATCACCTCCCTGACTCAGCTCACACCATCACCTCACAAAACCTACAATCATCAGGAAGAGGAGACATAAAGGGCAGGATTGGAACCAAAAGTTTTTTCCAAACGAGAGGAAACCCAGTCTGGAAACAAGGCAGCTCTGAAGGCACACCCTGACACACGCATCTGTGCCAGCACTCCGTGCAGCTTCACCTGCACTGAACTGCAGAATCGTTTGAACTGGAAGGGACCTCAAAAGGCCACCTGATCCAACCCTCTCAGGGAACAGGGTCACCTACAGCTCGAGCTGGCTGCTTTGAGTTTTGAGAAGCAACATCGCAGTGCTGTAGCAGGTACAAAGCAAAAAGAATCGCACAAGATTAAGAATGACTGCTCAGCAAGCAGGCGTGTGTCACCTCGAGGAAGCACAGCACTGATTTCAGCCATTTTTACGGAACACGGGTGCAAGGTGAAAAGGGGCCATTTAACCACAATAAAGCGTCGGGACAACGGCTGGAAGGCAGGCACCGAGCGGAGCCCGGTGCCCGGCTGACGAGAGCGGCAGCTCGCTGAGCAGGCAGGAGGGAGGCCCGGCACTCGCAGTCCGCTCACCCGTAGTACTCCAGGGCGCAGCCCAGCATGAGGAAAGTCAGGCCGATGGCTCCGCTGAAGGACAGCCCTACGAGAGCTGCAAACACAAGGCAGGCGGTGAGGCGCTTACCGGCCCCGCTGAGGGAAAGGGAAACGCGACCAGGCCGCCGTGCCCGCCGACAGGCAGGGAACGGCTCAGAGCTGCCGGCAGCAGCCCGGTGGGACCCTCGGCAGCCCGGAGCCGCCGGGCAGAGCTCGGCGGAGCTCGGCAGCGCTCGGTACCTTTGATACCCGCCATGTTTCCGGCGGGCCGGGTGGCAGCGGCTCCGTTTCTCGGCGCCCCGAACGATGGCTGAGTTAGCGGCGCGAGACTTCCGGCCCTTAGCCCCACCCGCTGCCGGAGCACGTGATCGGGTGCCTTAAAGGGACCGCACCGCGACGGGGGCGACTCCCTCACCCTCACTCCGGGGAGGGGCCGGTGCGCCCTTTAAGGCGGAGGCGGGAAACAGCTGAGCCGCGAGCTCCCGTCGCTGTGGTGACGGGGTGGTGCGAGCTGCTCCCGCTGGGCGGCTCCGTAAAGCCGGTGTACGAGCGCTGTGTGTGCGTCTAAGACGTAAGGATCGATGCAGCTCCAATCAGTCGCCACCACTTTGGAGGCTGCTCCTGAAAAGCCGTTTTTAACCCCCCAAAACAGGCCCGGCCTGCTCATCTCTCCCTCGTTTCTGCTGGGCCGCGACACGGTGCACACACCTTCAGGGTTTTGGGGCTCCGCCACACGAAGGCAAAGCTTTGGCCCAAGAGCCACAGCCTTGCAAAGCCTTTGGGACCCACATCCCCGCAGGGTTTTCCTCCGTGCAGCTCCTGCCTCAGCTACGGCCCCTTTCACTGCACGGAAAAAACGCCTACAAAACGTGAGCACCAACTTAATCTACTGCCAACAAATGCCGCGTTTGGGCCTACAATAAATAGCTTCATTTAAAAAACAAAAACAAAAACAACCCAAAATGCAGAAAGAGAAGAGTAACTTTACGTGCTTCACTAGGGGTATTTTTCTTAAGCCATAAGGACTGCAGCTTTTCCCATTGGAGCTTCTCTCGGAGTCAAACCCCAAGCTGTTCTTCCCACCTCCTGCAGGAAGAGGAGTTGGGTTCTCCATTGAGCTTGTTTGCTGCTGAGGAAAATCAAGGCCTTAGAAACAAGGACATTTGTCTTAAGCAAGCGGTTCCTGGTCACCTGCATGGCTGCACCCGCTCCCAGCCAGCCCCGAGCCACAGGAACAGAGGTGTGGGTCACATAAGCAGGCAGTGCAGAAGAAAGGAATCTCCACCCAGTGCTAAGGGAAGCGTTGTTGTTTATGGAGAAACCACCCTGACCTGTGCTGAAAGCAAGAAGGCAGAGTTCCCCCACCCCTCACAAGCACAAAACGCACGTGAGTGTTCATTTCAGCTTTTTAATGTATATACAAATGTTTTAGACCAGTCACAATTTCATTGAGTATATACCGTATTTACAAAAATTACAATAATTTAGTCAAACAGTAAACCTGAACATTGATAACCTCTGTCACTACCAGATATGACAAGAATTTTTTCTTTTTTTTAGTTAACTATTTTGATATACATACGTCCTAATACTTTCATGCACCCATAAAAACATTAGGGATGGAGTAATCAAAGTTTAAGTGGGATAGGGTTTCTTTGGGTAGATAAAGTTTAATGATGGATTTGCATTTTGTGAACGTATGAGTATCCAGAGTTGTTTGCCGTGACAAACCTGATACAAAGCTAACATAGTTTTCATTATTAAAAAAAAAAAAAGTACATTATAGTAATGAGATCCTTTTCATTATATAGGCATAGGTCACAATATCTACAAATGTGAATGAGAAACAATAAACCAACAAATCACAGGAACATGATTCACATTCCAGTTATCTCTTTAAATAAGACAAGCACATACTGGATCAAAACATTAATAAATAACATCCAGTTTGTTACTATTATCTTAAGGTCTTTTATATAAAAGGAGACCTATGTGTTGGTTTCACATTTTCAAGTAATGGTAGTAAATAATGGACCAATACAACAAAAGGATGACTTTTATACAGAAAGCAATGTACTTTGACACTCTGTCTTTGCAGTAAAAGTTTTGCCACTTGAAAATTTAAGTGCAACAACAAGTGGATTGTCTTTAAAAACCACCAGCTTTAATGACTCGCATCAGATGGCAACCTGTTCCTCAAGCAGCAAATACAAATGATTTGCTGCTTATCCTCTCAATACATCTGCCTTCCAAAGCTCAAATACAATTGTTGGTAAACAAACTGCTAGCTTCAGTGATTCTACAAAAGGAGAAAGTCAGGTTTGGGGTGAAGAGCATAACTTGTTTTAAACTAGGACAGATGCTTCAGCATCAAAGATATTTCATTACGATATTATTGCTTTGGTCCATAATAAACTTCTATGATAATTAATCTGCACAATTTACCTCAAAAATCAGACCTGGCCCACAGATGTCTGCATGACAGCTTGTACTCCGTGGTCTGAAAAGTGAAGTTGCAATGGGTTTTGCCAGGAGCCTTTGCCAAGTGCTCTGGAGCTGATAAAGGCATAGAGGTGATGCAGGTGGGCTGGAAAAAGTCTTCTGAGTCCTCAGGAGGAGAGCTGTTACCTATAGGCTAGGAAGTTTCTAACAATTTGCAGTAGAGTTTTAGCTTACTGGTATTGTCTGCTGCTTGATGGATTCAAACTACTGATGAGAACTTCATGGGAAATGCAGCACATGCTCATTCTTCCCTTGTACTAAGGTAGAACCACTCTTCCCCCCCAGCTCGCTATTCCCCCAGAACTGCTGTTTAACAAGCCATCAAGGTGCTGTTTAACATCCCTTACTTGCTGTTTGCTTTAAAGACACTTACTCCATGATGCTGAGGAACTTTTTCCACACGATTCACTGCTGGACTGTGAGGTGAAGTACAGTATTAATGCATAAAGCAGCAGTAAGCTGCCACACGGATCCACCCAGGCTTCAGCTTTATCTCTACTCAGGCATACTATGCTTTATGAGCAACGAAGCAGCAAATGGTGACTGTTAGAAGTGTGCCTAAACCACATCTGAGCACTTAAATTTGATGAAGTTTGATCCAAACCTAGGAAGAAAATACATCAAAGTCTGGGCTTCACCACCAGTTACAGAACTCAAGTGAAGTGTTGCCATGTCACATTTCACACACACACACAAAGTAGGAAATTCACCAGCTATGCTGTGTCAGAGACAGAACAATCCCACCTTTTCCCAGAATGTCTTCGCTCTCACCCTACTGGAATCCAAAGGGGAAAAAAAAAGGTACAAGGAACTGTAGCCCTGTGGCTCTCAGATGACAAGCCAGATGGCTAGAGTTCCTTTTGAGCTCAGGATTCTTGAAACAAGCATAAGGAAACCTTTCTCTTGCTCTTCATGATAAGTATTAGGCTCTTTGTTTTCTGAAACTTCTGAATTTCCAGCCAGAGTTTGGTTGATCTGTGACATTTGTGACAAGAGACTATACAAGCACTAGCACAGGTCTGTAGTGGAGACTGAGAAAGTACCTAATACAAGGGTTTCTGTCCTTGGCTTTCAAATTCTGACCAGGCATCATTTAGCTCCATAAATATCATCTTTGCATATTGTTCGTATGGCTGCCCAGTAGCCTGGAACAAAAACAGAAACAGGGGTATCACATCTGTCAAGGAGACTGCCAGCAGAAGACCTCTGTGCAGCCAGATTCTCAAACACGTATCGTTCACTTTCCACAAATGGTTTTCACTTATTCTTTGATGAGAAAAAAAACACTGTTGAGGGTTGCTGACCTTGTAAACAGCTTAACAGTTTTCTGGCTCTTCAGCCTTTTGCTCCCTAGAGCTGACAGAGTGACGGAGCAAAGAGATGCAGACCCAAGAGGGCTAAAAGCTTTAACCAAGGCTGGGATGCTTCTACACATTTGTTTGTACCAATACATTGAGCAATCACATTTAACACTTCATAATTAACCTTATTTTTGAGAACAGTGTCAGTTTCTGATCTAGGAAGCCCTTACCTTGTCAGGGTGAACGACAAGCACTGCCCGTCGGTAGACCTTCTTCACTTGCTCTGGAGTTACAAGATCTGCCATGCTTACAGGTTTCCACTTGGTCTCCCCTGCCCATAGGACGGTATGCATTGTGGACAGCAGGGCTCTTATATTTCTCTCCTTTCCTTCAATCCACTCCAGGATCTGAGGAGAAAAACGTGAACCTCCATTTATGCCTTACATTAGATATTCCAGGAGGAAAAGGTTTCTGTATTTGAATAGCAGTGACTCCAAGGAACATCTCATATTTCTTTCCAAGCTTCAGAAAGCCCTTGGGAGATATTCGTGAAAGATATTTGTCAGTCTGTACTTTGTCTTTAATTTCTATATCACCACTTGAAAGCCAAGATAGCCAGAGCCAAAAATACTGCCAAAAATACTGAGTTGGGCCACTCCTAAGAACACTTTGAACAACCATTACATGGAACAGTCAAAGATAAATGAAATGATTAACTGTGGGCTCTTCAGCAGGCTTAATTGCATACCTAAAAATAATCCTGACTGAAACTCTGCTGCGGAGGCATATCTTTAGAAGCCTTAGCTCTAGACATGCACTAAAGACTCATACAGAAGCTTAGCTTCAATATAAATCCTTTTAACCTTTAAATCAGAAGCCTCAATTCTCTCCATGAGCCTTTTTTCCTATTTGTGATTTAGCAGCCAAGCAAAGCAGAAGGTAACCCTACTTCCCTAGATGATGTCCCCCTTAGTGGTGGCCATCTGAGCCCACAGCTGCAGTTTTAATTTGTGGCTTAATATTCCTCACGTAGAGTGGGACAGAACGCACTTCCTTCCCTTCGAGACATATCTGTAGTTCAGCAATTTATTCAGGAGAGATGTGAGAATTCCAAAGTAGGTAAGATTAATGAGACAGAGGTTTTGTTCAATTAGCTGTGCCTGCTCACCAGAGCTGGAGTGACATGGTGCCCCAGCAGCCACGACAGTAACACTGAGCAAGCCACTGCTGTTTTCTAGTTTAGGACAGAAATGCATCCTTGGAGTTTTAATTGCATTCCAAAGGACGTTCACATCTTCAGGAAACATGTGGAAATGCATGATGTGAACAAACAGCAGGAAGCTCTCACTTTCTGCCCCAAGACAATCTCATTTTGGGGGCTAAGTCCCTCATTTGGTCAAAGCCTCGGTTAGCCTGAAGGACAGGAAGAGATGTTTGCTGCTCTTATCTGGCTTCTTTGTATGAAGCTACTTTGGAACACAGGGTGTTCTGTTGTTGTTTTCTGATATATTTTCAGGAAACAAACTGCTCTTTTCACAAGTGGTATCTCTCATTTTGATGACCTA